CACACACATTTAAAAAATGTGCGGCTGTCTTGGTTCAGCCTGATGTTTTAGACTTTTGGCTGATTTCTATTCAGGCTTTTACATAAGCACACCAGCATTCACACTAACACACATTATTTCATCCACAGTGGGAGTGAAGCTGCAGCTCTCAGTCAAGAAGCAGAGCCAGAGGTGAGGACCGAAGGGGACGCTTGCTAAGAATAGCTAGCCTGAGCTTTAGGGACACCGACCCTCTGCTCTGCTCCTTATGAAACGGGGACGTGGGGACATCTGCGTGTTGCTACTGGCCCGCTGATGTGAAAGTTTTACCTACTTAGTGAAGAGGAATGAGTTGAAGTCAGTAGATAGTGGGGTTCGTTATGCAACCAACTTCACAAGTGACTCATCATCAGCAGCAGCAGCATGAGGGAGATATGCAGACGCACTGAGGGACTCTCCAGTCCTCCCACTCTATACATCTATCTCTCATTTGTCCACCTCCTTCTTTCTCCCTCTTCACTTTGCCTTTTTGCAGCAAACAAAACAACCACTGTGATGTTTTCCTTTCCTACTCCAGACCATATTTTATTCCCCTGTAATTCCTCAGATTCCCTGCCTTATTGCCCCCACCTTCCTCTTTCTTATCACAAGCTTTTGATTCCCCCCCCCCCCCCCCCCCCCCCACCCACCACCACCTCCTTCCACCCACGACTTCCTCCAACCTTTCAAGGTTTTTCCATTTTTCTGTGCGGACGTGTATAACTACAGGTCAGAGCTTTGGAATTTGAACTGAATCAAAGGAAATCATTATCTCTGAAGGCAGGGCTGCAGGTTCAATCATTAAACTTTAAACTAAACTAAAACACTGACCTACAACCTAACTTTTACCTGTTTTTCAGGTAAATGAAATGCATTGTTTCAGTTTATTAATATGGTATTATCAGTTTCAAATAGTGTACACTCCTTGGAGGACTGCTGCTATTTGTCTAGAGTTCCCGGCTAATCTTTCAGTGTTTCCTAAAGTCAAACAGTGGTCATAATGAATGAGTTTGAAAGTTAATTTGTCATAAACATAAAAACATAAGTCCATCCAGTGGATAATGAGGTATTTTATTAATACCAATTGACAAATAACCAGAGGTGGAAAGTAACGAATTACATTTACTCACAGTACTGTAACTGAGTAGCTTTTTTGTATATTTATACTTTTTAAGTTGTTTTTAAAATCTGTACGTTTACTTTTTCTTGAGTACGTTTTTAAAAAAGAATTGTAATTCGCTACATTTTAAATCATATCCGTTACTGAGTAAAAATAAATTATAGGCTAATAAATTAAAATATTACGTGTAGCAGAATCGGAACAGAAAGAGACACCTGCATGAGCATCTAGAACCGCACGGCTACTTCTGGACTCCAAACGAGTCCCGTTAGCATGACTTCAGCAAAACTGCTAACCGTGTTCACTCCAGTAAGGAAAGAACAAGTCCTTTGGGAAAGCTATGACACACACACACACACACACACACACACACACACACACACACACACACACACACAGATATAATCTAAAAGATGATCTCTATATTTCAACATTAGAACATCCATGACATCCTGGATTAGTGCAAACAACGAGTTGAGCTAAGGAGTTACTCCAGCATCAGGAAGATTTATTCTGGTAAATTGTCGGTTAAATATTTTCCATTGTTATATCAATAAATCCACACAGCAGTAAAACTGTAGATTACTGAACTGCCGTAATTTCCGAACTATAGAGCACACCTCAATATAAGCCACACTTACTAAGTTTAAAAAAGAAAAACATGGAACTGTACTTATATAAGCCGCACCGGGCTAAAAACCGCCGATATCTACTGGATATCTACTGAATTGAAAACGTAGTTTAACTGAACGTAACTGAACTGATCAGTATCAAACAAAACAGAAAAGTTATTGATTAGTTTATTCATCATCCTCCTGCGCATTGAAATCATTAAAGTCCTCTTCTTCAGTGTCAGAGTTGAACAGCCTCAGAAGAGCTTCGTCACATACCTTTTCTGTGGCAATGTCAGTGTCGCTGTCCGTGTTGCTGTCATCATCCCGGGGAGAAGCTGGCTTGAATGAGTTCTTCCCGCTTCCGGCTCCAACGCCGAACCATGGATTCATTCATGCCAAGCTTACGTGCGGCAGCACTGTTTCCCTCCTTTACTGCCAGATCGATGGCCTTCAACTTAAATGCGGCAACATATGAACTCATATGTGTAGTTACCATGATGAGGGGGTAAGGATTTGAAAAAAAATCTTTGTCGTGCCGGCTGCTTGCATGTGCTAAATTAAAATGAGCACTTTCTTCAATTTCCACTTTTGACTTCCACCTGTTTCACTTTCTGCTAAAGCGCCCCCTGGCAGGTGAAGGAAAATCTTCAGTAAAGCCGCACCTCTTTATAAGCCCAGACTCGAAGACTGGGTTCGGGAGTACGAGCTTTTATTACAGACTGCTGGCTGAAAGTGATGCTGGAAAGGCTGACGGTTGGATGAGGTCTGACGAGGAAAGGTAGAGGTTTAGCTGTATTAGCTTCGGAATACTCTGATCATGGATCACAGTGGAACGATGACTGAGTGAAGAGCCGGTGTGGCGTCTTCCATATATAGACATGGATTGACGCAGGTGCAACGTGGAGGGAATCCCCGCGAGGGGCATGCTGGGTAATATGGTCCCAGACGGAAGCCGGTCATCTGGGAGAGCCCGGCCTGGGGGCTTGGACTCTGACAATGGTTCAAAGCGAGGGAAAGAAATAGTGGCTTATAGTCCGAAAAATACGGTATAATTGGGACACATGATGGAGCTAAGACCAACTGAAAACTTAGAGCTCCAAGTGGAGCACAGAAATGAAATATTTAAGAAAAGTAAACAAACTGTACAGATTTTGGTTCTGAAGATGAACAGAATCCTCCTCTATGTCCAAATTGGGTCGCAGGTCTTCTGAGTCAAACGGTCTAAAACATGTCTGCACCTCTGGAAGTGATATCCAGCTGGTGGGGTTGGAGTTCGGTTGAACTTCTCCGGTAATCCAATATCCGTTCTCGTCGCCGTACCCCAAAGAAAAAAACAAATCTGACCGACTAGTAGAGGCTTCAGAAGCTACATCTGATTGATGACACATTGTTCTCTGCTATAACGCTAACGCAGAAACACCGGAGTCAGGCGTTGTTTACTACAGCTGTTTCAGCAGAGCTCCATGTGAAACATCACCAGCTGCCCAGGGCTTAGATCAGAAGTTAGTTTCTGTTTTTCCCGCGCCAGTCAAAAACATCAGATTTTCTTACAATTCCAGCCGTCAAAACCCAAAAACCTTTTTCATTTAAGGTTTTAATACACATTTACACATGCTGTTAAAACAAATTTTGCCTCTGGCTGATATCTTTAAATATACAACAACTCTTTGACGACTTGATTATTATTATTATCCTGAGCTATTACAGCAATCAATTTCCCTCTGGGATTAAAAAAGTATTTTTGAATTTGAATTTGAATTGAATTTGAGTGAGTGAACCCACTACCAAGGATGAACTCTGCTAACTTTAAAAATCAGCTGCTCTAAATAAGCATGAAGGTCAGAGAGGAGCTCTAGGATGGACATGGATAAAGGAACTGTAATGTAGAGGTAAAGTAGGGCAGGGCCAACGCTAGCAGCCAGGGTCCGAAATTAAATTTTTTACTCACCGGCCAAGTTGGTTGGTAGATGATGAAAATCTACCGGCCAAGCATATTTTTACCGGCCAAAATTCTAAATGATTTAGATCTACCTAAAGCATGTTATTCTATATTATGTTGATTCCAAACTGAGTGACAAAATAATGAAAACATCAATTAATAAGAAAAACAACTCTTTTGTCATTTTTACTATTTATTTATTTATTTTTAGAGATGTTTTTATGAACTCTTTCATTGAAATCTAGTCAGACTCCTTGTTTTCTCTGTCCATGAAGTCTGGCCTCCTGCTTCTGACACCGTCTTTGTGCCAAAGCATTACAGCCTCATTTTGGTCATAGTCCTTGATCTCTGGAGAACACTGCTGCACCATGAGAATATCTGACAGTGTGTCAGGATTAGGGTTGTCACGGTAACCGGTGTAGCAGTACACCCCGGTAAAAAAGTTGACAATAATAATAACCGTCTTGTTTTTAAAAAAAAAAAATTATCTCGGTGGATTACCGTGGCTGCGGTCAGTAGCGGTTTTAGGCACGGGCAGACAGGGCAGTTGCCCGGGGCGGCATTTTTTCATGACACAAAAGGGGCGCACAAGCGCGGAGTAAAAAAAAAAAAAGGAAATCTGCGCCGCACCGAGGTTTTCTATTATCTGTCTTATGACAGTGTCTGGATTGGAAACAGCAAGTTGGCGCCCCCTGCAGTTGCAGGCGCTCCTGCTGACTGAGAACGTTCACGTGCTCCGTGTGTCTTCCACTACCTCCGCTCCGCTGCGCTCCGCTCCGACACGAACGCCGGAGCAAAATCGGTCCCGTTCTAGTCAATCAGAGCAATTCCACTACTGCGGCCGTGCTCCGGCAGTGCGGCGCCGTGCGGCGCCCTCTGTTCCGGCGTCCGGCAAAAATAGAATCGATCCTATTTTTGCCGGACGCCGGAGCACCTCCGCAGTCAATGGACAGAAATCACAACGGCCCAACAGGAAAAGGAGCAAGCACATCTTCCGTTTTTCACAATAAATCGCTAAACAAAAGGCGTTTTTTGTTTCATATGCACAGGTTTAACAACTTTTAACAACTATCAATGGCGGCTGAAGTTTAAATGCACAAAAATAAGCCATAAATACAGTTGCCACTATCAAAGTAGTCACACTTTGTTGATCCAAACACTGCTGATCTCTCAACACAATGATGGGCAGATTAAACAGCTCATTTCCGATGCTTCTCCCGCACAACGGGTGTTTGGATCTAACTTCCGCGTTTATTGCTCGGACTGTATCGCAGGATCTCGAAAATCCCGCGCATGCTTGTTTGCCCCCCTCAGGTCTCCGTACCGGAGCGGAGCCGTTGTAGAGCGGGTACCAGTAAAAATTGAGTTCGGAAGCGAGCGGCTGCGGAAGGCGGGGGCGGACCGGAGCGGAGCGGAGCGGAGGTAGTGGAATTTGGGAGTAGGACCTGGCTGCAGACATCAGCTGGTGTGTCGAGAGCAAGATGGCGTGTCATTACTTTTACCGGAAAATCGACGAGCGAAAGACCTCGGCAGGAAGTTGGTCCTTTTTTGGCGGCCGCTACGTTGTTTTTGTTTCAACCATACTCGGCGGGTTTCAATTGAGGAAAGGTAAGGATAAGGATGATAGATAAAGAAAGAAGGATAAGGATGAAATTAACTAATTGTTGCAACCGTTCTTAGTTCTTAAATGTAGGCACTGTAGCGTTTAAAGCTTTACCAGAGAATTATTGCAAAGGCACCGTGTTTCATAGCTAATTGTATCAATATTAACACGCAGTCTTAAAACTAATGCAGGGAGATCACAAGCTAGCGAACACAAAAGCTACATAAATAAAGCTATCAGCAATTGTAGCTTAGCTTTAACTTAGCTATTTGATTTTTCTGGTCTCCCTGTTTGTTAAAACAGTTAAAGTAATAATATTAACTTTATATATAATTTAGATATGATATAAAGACCACGATTTCTAATACTGACTTGACTGAAACGTTATTAATACCCTTTTTTAATTAAAAAGCGTAGATTTTCAGAGATTTGTAAGTGGTTTCAATCACTAGTTTTCATACGAGGCTAAAGTTAGCTTCCGATTCTGGAAATGGCTAAAGGGCTAATACACCCAATTTTTCTCTACTCTGACCATTTTTATTCTGCTCTAGCTCAAAACCTGCAATACATACACTCTTCAAACCTGTTTTAAATTATTCTGGGCTCGTAGGAATGCATAAAACATAGTTTGTGATTTGTGAAACCTTCCTCTGATTTGTGAAACTTCAAAAAGACAGATTTATGAATTTATTTTTCAGCATCTGGCCCACACTGGAACTGGTCCTGTGCACCCAGAAATAAAATGTATTTTCTGGACAAGCTTAGCTTTCAATATCTCTAAATATTTTTCAGTTATTGTGTGTGGTGTGCTGGGTCATTCTACTGTGGTTGCACAAATCAGGTGTCCTGCAACAGGTACAATAACTTTGAAATAGTAGCCGCTTCTCTAATTAATGCCGCCCTCCTTCTGATTCTGTTTCAGAATAATCCTATCCTTATAAAAAATAGATATTTTTGTTGACTGACTGCTTTGATCGGGTTTGGTTTATATTAATATTACCGGATTTAAGCACATGTAGCTGCAAATCATTCAGGAGTTACAGGCCTTAAATATAGATCTAAAATGAATATCGGACTTCTTCAAGTGACCCTGACAAAACTCCTTACATGTGCTTGTATTCTTCATTTGCTAATAAGATGTATTTTTATCTAAATTACAGGACAATCGAAGCTTTGAAAAATGGAACCCAGGCAGTGATTTCAGATGGTGAAATCAAGGTAATATTTAATTATAATAAATTAAGACTCTAAAATTGGACATAGGATAATGCAATCCCTTGTTATCTGTGGTAATGTTGCTTATTTTTAACTCTTGTCTCTACTCAGACTTTGTATAAGGATCTCTGCAGCGGTGGAGTGAAGTCTGGCCTCATGTATCTGTGGCACAATCCAGGTGTCTCGCTTAAATTAAAGCAAAGACTAAAGCCACTGATGTTCCACTTTGCTGATGCACAGGTAAATGTATACTGACTTACAATAAGCTGCATCACATTTATTTATGTGGATGCGTGGTCAGTGGGCCACCTGTGTCTGTTGTCTAATGCTGAGAGGAACGTTTTGTTCATTTTTATGTTAACGTGTTTTATAGGTTGACGAGCTGACAGAGCGGACTGGTTCATGCTCAGGAATAGATAAACTAATAAAGAAGAGAGAGTTCCAGTTTCTGGACTTGGTGTTTGATGTCCTTGTTCCAGAGGTACAACGCAGGCTTCAACAGTGATTGGTATAAAAGTTACTTTTCGAAAACATTTGACAGTGTATGAAGTAATCCTTAACAGAGTTTGGTGGCAGGAGAATCTCGTCTCTGCTTTTTGCGGATGATGTGGCTCTGACCTTCAGCTCTTGCTCCCTTCAGCTCTTGCTGGGTAGGTTCGCGGCCGAGTGTGAAGCGGCTGGGATGAGGGTCAGCACCTCCAAATCCATGGTTCTCGACCGGAAAAGGGTGGCTTGCCAACTCCGGGTCGGGGGAGAGGTCCTACCTCAAGTGGAGGAGTTTAAGTATCTCGGGGTCTTGTTCACGAGTGAGGGTAGGAGGGATCGGGAGATCGACAGGCGGATTGGTTCAGCGTCTGCAGTGATGCGGACGCTGAGCCGATCTGTCGTGGTGAAGAGGGAGCTGAGCCAGAAAGCCAGGCTCTCGATTTACCGGTCGATCTACGTCCCAATCCTCACCTATGGTCATGATCTTTGGGTAATGACCGAAAGAACGAGATTGCGGATACAAGCGGCCAAAATGAGTTTCCTCCGTAGGGTGGCCGGGCTCAGCCTTAGAGATAGGGTGAGGAGCTCGGACATCCGGGAAGGACTCGGAGTAGAACCTTTGCTCCTCTGGATCGAAAGGAGCCAGTTGAGGTGGTTTGGGCATCTGGTCAGGATGCCTCCTGGACGCCTCCCCGGGGAGGTGTTTCAGGCATGTCCTGCCGGCAGGAGGCCCCCGGGTCGACCCAGGACACGTTGGAGAGGTTACATCTCCAATCTGGTCCGGGAACGCCTTGGGGTCCTGCCGGAGGAGCTGGTGGAGGTGGCCGGGGAGAGGACGGTCTGGAGCTCCCTAGTTGGGATGCTGCCCCCACGACCCGGACCCGGATAAGCGGAGGAAGACGACGACGTTGAAGTAATCCTGCATGTTTTTCAGGTAACAATAAAAGTGTTGGAAAAATGGGAGGGGATGAATCATTATGCAGCTGAGAAAGCCATGCTTCAGCAAATTCATTTGTACCCAAAATAAAATGGTTGTGAAATCAAGTGTTTCTTTGGTTTTATTGTCTTTCACTCAAAATAAATACCAAGTAGCTAAATAGTTATCAGCTGTAGTAGTTAAATTCTGTTGCAATGAGCTGCTGTGATACACAATAGGACAGTGTTATGGATATTTAATAACTAATTTTTGTTGCTGGTGAGAGAGGAGTGTTGCTGAAATGTTTTTCACTGCTTCTGGGAGTCCTGTACTTTAGCAATTGGTGTAGGTCAAAAGTTCATCTTGGGCTTAACAATAAAACTGAATATTTAGCCAGTACTATTTTGTTTGCACATTTTGAAAAGTCTTAGTTTAACGTGTTCTCATTTTATCCATGTTTTTTTAATTCACTTTACAGCCTTTTATTGTGTGTGTGTGTATATATACATATATGTGTGTGTGTATATATATATATATATATATATATATATATATATATATATATATATGAATATGTATGTATGTGCTACTGTCATAAAAATTCCCTGTCTGAAGAACAAAGGGATTTAATATTCAATTTTCATGCAACGCAGGTTACAACGTTACTTAAGTTTGCCAGTCCAGATCAGAAGAGAAAAAAAAATCCGAAATAAAAAGCTTTTTCCGGTAAGTTTTGTTTTTTTAAAAAACTACTTCCAGTGAAAGTAATGACTTCTGGTTAAGGTAATGACCCACCGTGTAATTTTTCTCTTAAATGTGTACAAATCGAAGAGAAAAACGACACGGTATGGTTTTGACAAATCCAAACTACTTTTGTGCTTTGTCAATAAAGCGTATTCAAGAAAAAAACTACTTCCGGCAAAGGTAATGACCCGAAAAAAACTACTTCCGGCAAAGGTAATGACTTCCGGCGAAGGTAATGACACTTGTTTTTCCGGATACGTCATTTCCTGTCACGGCAAAGACGCCAGCTGATGTCTGCAGCCAGATGCTCTTGGAATTTGGGGGTAAAAAAGAACAGGAAGGGGAGGGGTGCGGCGGGGGAATTCACCTCTGCGTCTTTCCCAAATGAAATGAGCGTGCAGGGGCTGAATCAACTGTATTAACATGGCTAAAGTCAATCACATCTTAACGTTCTTCCATATTTCATTCATAATATCATAAACACAGGCCTATCATTCTTTCAGGTTTCTCTGAATTGTGTGAAATGGCCGAATAAAAAAAGGAAAAACAAAACGATTTTGTGGTCACCCCCCATCAAGGTCAAATGGTTTAGTCCCGACTAAAGGAAACTTACTGAGTCAGGAGACAAACAGAAGAGATGAACATAAAAAGGCTAAAACCACCAGGTGCCCCATTCAGGGGGAACAAAAGAAAAAAAGAGCAGAAAGATAAAGGTATGTAGCTCTCATGATGCATGTTTTCAATTTTTTGAACCAGTTAACTGGGATTTTAACGGTTAAATGCGGTCAACTAATTGCTAACAGAGCTAATAGGGCTGAAATATTTAAACGAATATTCAAATGGTTTGAAAAAAGTCCTTGAATCGTTTTTTACTGATTCAAACTAGGATTTGTTAAATGCTCACTGCAGCCCGTGGCCTGCCTGAACAACAACAAACACATGTTGATCATGTTCACATAATAATAAATAAAACAATTCTACAAGCAGAAGAAAACTCCCCAGTCACCACTAACTATCCTGTTTATTTATTGCAGATGGCTGCACTGATTATTTTTTACATGATTTGTTCTGTAAAAGTTGGCATTTTTGGTAGTCTACAGTTTTTTATGTCAGTTTAAATTACAATTTCAGAGGCAATTCTAAAATATTATGGATCATGATAAAGATCTATTGGAGATCTACCCCAACTTTTGGACTGCTCTGCCAGTCACTGTGGCTCAAGCTGAGAGGAGCTTTTCAAAACTTGATCAAGTCATACCTGAGGTCATCTATGTTTCAGGGGCGGCTCACTAACCTGGCTCTGATTAGTATCAATCACTCAGTAGGGGAGCAGATTTCATGTGATGACATTATTGATGACTTTGCATCAAGGTTAGGTTTTAATTTTAGTTTGTGTTTTCTATTCTAAGTGCAATGCTGTAGTGATTATCTTTAGTTTGTTACGTGTGAAATATTTTTGCTATTTAGAATATTTATTATATATTATGTTCATATATTCTTAATATTTAGTTATTGTTTGTTTTTGTATATTTGATTCTATATATTTTGATACAGTATATAATGTATAGTGCTTTACATTCTGACAACTTCATAGTAATTAATGTAAATATGTGCAACTTAGAAAAATGAATGTTCAATAGTCGTTCTAATAAAACATGCCTGTTTGTAGAAAACATGCGTGTGTTCATGCAGGTGGGGTGGTGTGGTGGTGGTGGTGGTGGTGGTGGGGGGGGGGGGGGGGGGGGTTGGGGGGGGGGGGGGCTCAAAGGGGGCCTCGCCCGGGGAGTAATTCGATGTAGAACCGCCACTGGCTGCGGTGTAGGCACGGTGACCCTTACCAGCCACCGTATCATCTGCTGAAGTAGTCGGCGGCACGTGCGCACTTTGTTGTTTACGACCAAAACTTTCTTTAAGCTAAAGCTGAAATAATGGCAGGAGGAGACGGCAGCACTCGGGACATTTATTATCCCTCAAAGAAGACAAAGTCGGAAGTATGGGCATTTTTTGGATATTTGAAGAATGCCGAGGGACATTTGTCTGTGAAAGGCAGCAACGCTACGTGGCCATCATAATGTTGCCATTGTCTCACGACTCCGCCATCTCCAGTTCGCTACTTTTCACAAAATCTTCTGGTTGCCACTGGTCCTGGTGGTTTTTCTTCCAGTTCGACGAGTTTTCTTTTGGAAGGCTGGCTGACTCCAGTTAAAAACCGCCACATTTCACCGCTAATTTTAACACGAAGCTAACTGCTAACTTGATAAACTGATTGAATGGGATAGGTGGAAATGACGTTGGATGCGGCGTTCACGTTTCGCGTACATTTGTGTGGAGCAATTTGCTTGCATTTGGCGAGTGGCAAGTGTTAATTTCGGACCCTGCTAGCAGCTGTCATACGGTCCATTTGAAATGTTTGACTTTTGACATTGACATTTAGCTTGTTATGTGACAGGTTAGAGCAGTCTCATGTTAGAGTTTTGTTATGAGAACACTGAGATACCTCACATACTGATGGCATCTAAAAATTAACTTTTTTTTTTCAAAATAAAGAATAATTTAAATTCACAATTGAAACGTACAATCCTAGAAAAACCTCGTTCAATCAATGTGCACGTCCTGTTCTCACTGATTGGATAGATATCCTTCTATCAAACTGTGTGTGTGTCTGTGTGTGTGCGTGCACACACGAGCGTGTTGTGAACTGGTGTTGTGTTTTGCACTGATGTAACCATCTTTACACTGACAAAAATGTAACTTAGTAACTTTTACTTTGAGTACATTTTATTTATGATACTTTTTACTTTTACTTGAGTAAAAATTTAAGCAAGTACTTTTACTTGTACTTGAGTAAAACATTATCAAAGTACTGGTACTCGTACTTAAGTAGGAAATTTTAGTACTCTTTCCACCTCTGCAAATAACCACTTTACAACATATAAGACCTACATTTCTGTCACATCATGTGTCCTAGAAGGTCATAGAAGGACTTAGATTCCTCTTCTGTTTGACTTAAAGCAACAATGTTTATTTTCCTTGGCGATAGGGGCAGTACATACCTAAATCATTGCAAGTAAGCAGCATTTTTGTGTTTGAGTAAGACTTTACCAACGGATGGCCATTAAGGTCAAAAATCTCTGGGATCGCAACCTCCAGCAAAATGACAATCACATCAGACTCCTTTTCATCACTGGCAGCGAGTGAAGAGGTAAATGTGTAAAACAGTGTTTATGAATGGTGAAAGTTTTGTAACCGTTTGTTACAAATCAGTAAGTGTGTTTTGTCCTCATGGGCTCCCGTAGAAGGAAACATGGCGTCTAATATGGCGTCGCCCAGAGACTAAGACCCACTGCCACGTATTTTAAATCTGATTTTTATGATTATATGTTATGAAGCCAATATTTTTTAACAACTGGGCATCATTTAATTTATTCCAACAACATTTTGACTGATATTTCCAGAGATTAACGGTAAAAGCTACACATTGTCTCTTTAAACATAATTCTGTCATTTAAGTCATTTAAGAAAAATTCTTTCCTCTCTTGCTGCATGAATTTTGCTTTTGAGAACACCCCGCTTCAGCTGATGACAGAATGAGACACACAAACACACACACACACCCTGTTGGATTTTAATTTATCTCCAAATTTATCTCCCTGGCTTTTTTTTCCCAACACTCAGATGATTAAATATCTTTTCAAAGTTACGGTCCACTTACATCTTTCTTATCTGGTACTTTTCCACATCTGTGTTCTCTTAATCAGCACCTCTTACTCACATTCCAGCCAACACTAGGGTGAGCCGGGCCCACTCTCACGCTTTCCTGCAGCTAGTGTCACTCCTCCTCTCCCTGCTCTCTAGAGGCCCACTTGATCTCCCAGTGACTCAAGTAACACTCCTCTATTCCCTCAAAGAAAACCAGCCATGTGGTTACTGTTAGAAAAAAATCAGTGCCAAGCAAACAACAATGAACATAGTTTAAGATGACGAGGACAGAAGAAGCAGCAAGTGTCTCACCTGTAGCTGGTGTCTGTCGGAGTAGGCGCGTCGGCTGACTCTAAGATTCACTCTGGAAGGGTAGGAGTTGCTCCGCGGGAGGCCAGGGTGCACTGAGTAGCGCTGATGCTGACCCCGATGGTTGGAGAGCGTCCGAGAACTGTTCCTGTTGCCACCTGTGGGCTGTTTCCTCTGGCTGGGCAGTAGCAAATCATTTATGATGGGCGTCTTTGCTGGCACTCCGTAATGGGCAGCCGTCCGGTTTGATGTCTCAGTGGTCTTGTCTTTGCTCCCGCTTCCAGCCTGATGGTAAAACTCAGCTGAGTCCCTCCCCCTTCGACTCTTCCCCTTTAGCAGTTTGGCAGCAGCAGAGTTCGGCTGAGATAAATGCATGAAGTAAAAAAAATAAATAAATCAAGATAAAACAAACAAATGCAAAATCGCCAATTTTCATTTAAGGAAATTCTTTTCAAAATTGCTGCTACCTGCTACTAGCGCTTATCAACCTCTGCTCCTGCTGATCAGCAAAACGGCTGTCTAAGCACGCCCACTTATCACTACTCGTCACCTCCCCACAACTTGTTGGAAATGCTGGTGAGGCAAGATGAGAAGCACCAGCCAATAAGCCAGGAAGAGTTGAGTGGTGCTGAGAAAGGAGTTGCACAGACGGGCGGGCAGACAGGCAGGAATGGCAGGGTTAATGCTTTCACTCGGCACGGTGATGTGCTGTTATGTCACCCAAGCAGAGAAAGCATTACCGTGTCTTTACGCCTGGCTGCACGACACAAAAAGAGACAGGCTAGGAGAGAGGAGAGGAGGGGAGGGGAAGAGAGGGTGGGGAGGAGTGGAGGACAGCCACGGATAAAAAGCATCATCAAAGAGGACGAGAAGACGTGGAGACAAAAGCAGGTGCAGGTTGAAGAGGAGTTGAAGAGGAAGTTCAGCAAAAGCTCCTAAATTAGAAAAAAGAATAAATAAATAAATAAATGGCTGTAAAATGAGAAATAGGAAGCAACTTAATTCTCCCCAGCATGGATGATGTTAATTCCTTGAGGCAGAAAATGCAGAGGAAAACAAATGACAGCCAGCTAGCTAAGCAAGCCCTGCAAACCTGAGTAAGCCACATAGTCACACACTAATGAGCAGCTGCAGACACAGCACAGCTTCACCGAGGAGCTCTCTGCCTTGGCGCTCTGCAGCACAACAGTGACCTTTACCCATGAATCAAAAGGTTTCAATGAAAATCGAGACAATCTGGCCTGAATGCTCGGCGACATCCAGACACGACAGCTGGCTGCACTATCTGAGTCAAACTACATAAAAAACATCCCAACTCACCTCCACGAACTGTTCCGGACAGACCCCAACTTTTCCCCCCAGCTCGGCTTCAATCCATTTCTCATCCACCCGCCTGTTGACAGTTAGGATGTCTCCCTGTTCATCAGAAAGAAGAAACAGATTTACAGAAGACAACGATGGAGCAGGACTTGAGTGATGTGGAGTTATGTCTAACCCTGGAGACTGAGCACTAAGAGCCGAAGTTTCTGCTTTGGCGTGTGACATCAGCTCCGTTTGTGGCTGCAGGCCCTCAGCTTTCTACACCCAGTTTAAAAGAACACACACACACATTTGACCACCTGCATTAAAAAGAAAGGCAAGCTGAAGCGTGCTTTAATGGACAAGAACTGAGGCCCTTATGTAACTACATCAGAAATCCTTCAGGGTGAATAACAACCACAGCAGCAGAGGTTGGTAACCTCAGCTCCACAAGTCTGTTTTCGCTCTCTGGAAACATTCAAGTGAACAAAAAAGTGACGAACATTATGTAATACCAGGACAAATGGGAATTTTCTGTGCCGCACATGATCAGAAAATATGACAAAGTTTTGTCAAAGTGTGCCATTTGACCCAAGATGAGTTAAGATGTCAAGGACATTGAGTGTATAGAAAGGCTTTTTTATTTCTCACTCAAATCAGTGTGTTGAAATAAGCTGCCAGGGGTTTGGGCATTTACGATTAAAACGTAAGATAAGTTAGTCACCAGGAAAAAAATGCAAATGATAAAAACCTGAATAGTGACATTTTAGAAACAAAATCTCCACCGAGTGTTAGAGCACTCATATGATGAATTCTCTAAACTTTCAACGACCTAAAAAATTCAGTTAAAAAACAGAACTATGAAGGGCCGATGCAGCCCTCTACTGTAGAGTCAGATTTGATTAAATACACTGCATTAATGAGCAAAAGCTACACAAACGAAAGAAGTGCTGTGATAAAAGACGAATGCAGATTAGTGATGCACTGATATGAAATTTTTGGGCCAATACCGATATCCGATATTAAGATCACGGTTATGGCCGATAACCGATATTTGCCGATACCGATATACTGACATTAATGCTTCTAAAATCAGCAGATTTTGTATAGAATGAAAATTATTAAAGCTGAATTTGCATTATTATGTACACACAACACACACATTTACGCTTCTGAGATGATTTCATTCACTGTTCACATGACTAAACAATTACACATCACCCCCCTCACCCTCTGAAACAGGCAAACAAATGGAGACGAGATGGAAAAAATATTGGTTGTTAATAATGGCCCGGTTTTATTTATCGAACAGATATGTTAAAAATGACAAACATTGGCCGATACAGATGCCGATATATTGTTCATCCCTAATGCAGATCCTTATGATGTTATAACTGTTGGGTGGATTGTTTCAGAGTAATCACAGATCTGTGGGCTTCTCCTGAAAATCTGTCTTTAACATGCAATCTTTAAATCCTCCATGGATCTAAACGTCTCCTCCCTGACATTAAGCATCATCTGTGGAGATGATTTCATAAAAACTCCCACTAAGAGTCTCCCAGAGTGAAAACAAAAGCTGAAAGGCTGATTGCTAAAAGTGTTTTTACAAGCTGTGATAATCAGACAGTGGATGACACTACGTTCTCACTTGACAGGAAGCCCAAACTTTGTGAAACTGTAAAAAGACGAAAAACGTAATTTTATTTAAATATTAAAGACCAAGTTCACTCGTCAACACATTTGCAAAGGTCGTAAGTGTAAATAGTTGATCGCTGTGGGAAAAATGCTCTGGTGCTCCTGTTTCAGGAAGAAGACGTTAGTCAGAGCAGGGGAGGGGCAGCAGACGGCAGGATTTGGAGTCTAATTTCCTGATATTTGGACATCTCGCTTCTGATTGGCTAACAGCAGCACGACTCTACCCCTGACTCAATTTGCTTATCCAAATTGATTTTTATCTCAACAGTATGAGTGTCTGCCGTGTGGTGAGGTTGCTAATGCTAATGGTTAGCTTCTACTTGTACAGATGCTCTAGGAAGGTCCTGCCTTTCTCACATCCTATTGGCTATTTCATTTAGAAGCTAACTGTTTTCCCCTGCTAAGGACAGGCTGTCCTACCACCAACAGAACAGCTGTTTTGGGAAGTTTTGTGTAAAAAAAAAAGTGAACTTAGCACTATAATAACCATTATGTCCTGTTTCTTTATCAAAGAAACTTTAAAATGTAAAATGTGAACTTGTAAAAAATCTTGTTCATTTATCACACTGGTAGATAAAAAATCTTGTTCATTTATCACACTGGTAGATTGACTTTATTTATATCTGTTGGCTCTCAAGCAATGAGGTTATATTATTAAAGCAGTGCAAATAGGCTAAACATGTGTGCCTGTGTACCTGTTAGTACAGCTCAAGAGGAAAATTTCAGAGGTCAGTATTCTGCCCAAGGCCTTTTAACACATGACCTTCTGGAAACAAACCAACCAGCTGATCAGTGGTCATGCACTGGGCTCCATGGTTGAAAGCCCAGCCACCAGGCGCTCACCAACATGCCCCAACTCCAGGCCGGGCTCCAGTGAGGGGCCCCAGTGACCCCGGGAAGGGGATCTTCTTTCATAGTGGCCTATTTAGTATAATTTGGCTAATGTTAGCGTTAGCTTGTTGTTAGTGCTAGCTACAGCAGGATGCTGAAGGGTTGCTCATGATGGTTGTAATTCCACTTTCAACCAGTAGGACAGAAAATCTGGAAACCTTTTATGTGTTTTCTGACAGTTTAGCATGTGCATTTGTTTACAAGAAAACTATTTAGCTTAGCACAGCGGCCATTTTTCTGCTTACTCCAGTTGTTTCTCTGTCTGATTCAGTTTTTGAATTACCTATGTTTAGCAGCCAAAAAAAAAGCCAGTTGTAGGAGAGCCCCTCGAGCCGATCAAGGCCAAAAAGGCAGGACCTTCCTTAGAACATCTTAGCTAATTCACCTTCTAGACGCTAAATCAACAACAGCCTTCCCTGACACGTGCCAAGTTGGGTGAGTCCATGAATACTCATTTTTAGTGTTACGTGTAATTGACTGGTTTGTCTATTCCGAGCGTTTTCCTGTCTATTTTCCATCGGCAGCTAAAACAGGAAATAGGGGTAGTAGACTATTTTCCCTTTTGGCTTGCATGTTAAACTCAGAGTGACCGACCATATTTCAAAAGTAACAAGTAAAAAACTGTTTCTTGGTGAATCTGGTCTTTAAAGATAAATGCTAGCCTAGCACTCCCACATCTTTTACATCACTTGTTAAAACGGCTGATTTAAATGATCAACAAAAATATAACCACAATAAACCAAGAACACACACACACACATGCATGCATGTACACACACTCACGCACACACACACCGCTATGTTAAATCTATGACAGACCTTTTGGAAGCCAAGACAGTATTTGCTGTCCTCCAGATTCATCTCGGCTGGGTTAAAGTCACACAGCGCTTTGCAAAGAGGTGGCACTTGGGCCTGCTGGAGGGGCTGCAGCTGAGGCGTCTGGCTGGCGGCCTGCAGAGCACTAACATATCCTCCACCGCTCTCAGCCAGGTCCTCATAGTGCCAGCTGTCATCCAGTTTGAGGTTCCGGCTGACGGTATTAGTAGGTGCGAAAAATGGCTCTCCTGACGAATCGGCTCGCTGGTTTGAGGCTTTCAGATAAACCTGACGAACAAAATTGAGTCTTGAAGCATCAACTGGATCCTATTTACCATGAAATTTGTCATTTTGATTTGAAAAACGTTATTCTACTTTCAACATCATAAAAAATGTGTTTCTCTGTCAGCCTAACTTGTTTAATAAAAACTGACGATTGTTTTTATGTCAAATTTAGCACATATTTAATATTGTGTAAACACATTTTGAGTTGATTGAGACTTCAAAACCAAAAGCTTCTCTCTGTAACTATTTTAGGATTAGTGTTTAATTTTTCTCAGAGATAGCAGACATGTCTGCCCAGCAGTAGTCAGCGTTATTCAATTCAGTTCAATTCAGTTGAATTCAAAAATACTTTATTAATCCCAGAGGGAAATTGACTGCAGCACAAAACGTACCAGCAATTTGGTGCATTTTTCATAAACAAGTGACAATGCATCTGGAAATTCAGTGAGTCTAAATCCTGTTATTAACTTGATATTACTAACTAATATGTTTTTCTCTTAATTGGTTAAAGAGTAACATCTGCGTATAACCACGTGTGATCCTCTACTGGACAAACCAGATCAACTTTTTCATGACAAGCACCAAAACTGTCAGTTTAAAGGATCTATAGGCCAAATAACGTGACTTCATTCATTCCAGCTCAGTGGCCTGGTGGTATGAGTGTCTGCCCTGAGACTGGGAGATTGTGGGTTCAAATCCATGGTTGGGTCATACAAGACTTTAAAAATGGGACCCAATGCCTCCCCACTTGACACTCACCATTAGGAAGTTGGATTGAGGAGTTAAATCACCAAGTGGTTCCCGAGCACAGCCGTGTCTGCAGCTCACCGCTCCCCCAGGGGATGGGTCAAATGCAGAGAACACATTTCACCACACATCAGTGTGTGTGACGACTAATGGAACTTCAATCTTCAATTTAAAAAAAGGTCAAATGTAATATTTTGTAACTTTTGTAAACGTCAAAAAATAGGCATCATGTGAAAATGTCACCACTCCACAAATGCAATTAGGGGCTGCACAAAGTCACTAGGAAGGCCACATTCAGAGCTAAAGTGTATGAGCGGAACCAGGTATGATGAGCTACTAACAATGACCGGACTCTTCTTTTAGGCTTTTATTTGTTTAGTCTGACTTTTAATATTTACGTTTGTTTCTTTGAAGTAAAAAATGATTGTGTGTGTGTGTGTGTTTTAGTTGTTTTTAGTCTGAATGTCTGTGCGCATTCATCTGTGAGCACCTTTGGTCCTCGTGTGCAGCCTGTATTTACAGATGTATCGGCTCAGAGCGCTCCTGTGTTTGAGGAGAGGGCTCAGAGGGGTTGGAATCTGGGTTAATGGTGGGTTTCCATGTGGGACACAAATCCTGACACCATCTAGTCAGGTATGAGAAACCTCATAGATACAAGTCATTATTAAAACCAGTAATCTTTTTATAAAAGTAATTAACCAACTTTATTACTGAATAGTGTGACAGAGTTTATCCTCAAATCTAAAATGTGTCTGAATTGTAAAAAGAAATTACAATTAGAGATGCACATTTCTGGTATTGAGGGCTGACAAAACACATTTTTTTAAACGTTCTGATTGAAATTGTAATTCTGGAAGAACAAAAACCTGTTTTTACTCACTTGAATTTAGCGTAGGGAGGGCCAGTTTATGAACTGGGAAATTTGCTGTATTTTTGTATTGATGCCTGACATTCAAGGACTGTTAAAAAAATCAGATTTTTGAGTTTCAGTTTGGCCATTCCTCAGTAATCTATTCGGATCACCGGTGAGTGTTTTTGAAGCATCTCTGCTGCTTTTTTAAGTATGTTTTTTTAATCTGATTCTCATAGGAAAAAGACAAAGACATTTATAAAATGAAAAGCTTAGTTCTGAAAATTTTCAGCATTCATACAAGACAGTTGAGCTAAAAATGTGCAGGTACTCTTAATTACCAGCATGCCACGCCTTTAGGTTGCACAATGTAGTGCATGTTTTCACTACTGTAAACACTTTAATGCAAACCTCAGTGTAACGCCTCAGTTCTTTGAAAAAAATCTGTGAAAGCGGAATCAAACGCACCGTTACAGATACAGATGTTAGTTTAAAGTCAGGTAGAACACGTGCGTACAGGGTGTATGTGCTGACCTCACTGTGACCTGGCTCCTCTCTGTCATGACCCGCCCACAGCTCATCTTCCTCTATGGGTGAGGACCAGGCATAGCGGCCCCTCTGTGTGAATGTGTCAGGCCCTGAGAGGCTCTGGAGCCCCTCCAGCAGCCGCGCCAGCAGGAGGTTCTCAGGAAGGTCCTCCACCGACCTAACCAGGACAGGAAGACGACATACCGGGCAGAGCAACTGGGAGTGAACTTTTTCCTGCCACCTCCGCAGGCAAGACACACAGAAGGTGTGCTGGCAGGGCAGCACCTTGGCTAAGGAGTCCAGCTGCTTCAGACACAGGGGACACTTCAACAAGGTGGCCAGAGCCAGCTCCTCAATTTTAGAAGGACTACCTGTCTGTGAGAAGACATCTCCCACATCTGAGATACTGCAATCCACCATGCTGCAGTGAGAGAGAGATGGAGAGAGAGAGAGAGAGAGAGAGAGAGAGAGAGAGAGAGAGAGAGAGAGAGTAAATCAGTGGTAAAAAAGGAGTTATAAGTGCTTATTATAACACTGACCAAACTCATTTTCTATATTTATACATTATCTGATTTGAAGCGTTTAAAACAGTAAAAATACTTTTAAAAACTTATTTTGTGTTGTTTGTTTACAACTCAGGCTTCTTCTCGGCTCACCTGGCTGCACAGGTGCGTCAACAACAGCGCATTTCCGCAGATATTAGCACATTCACCGAACAAACCACGTCATAACACCATAAAACGCTCACACAGTCTGCGGCCTGGTGGAGTATAACCCATAAACTCAGATTTTAGAAAATGCGCGAGTTCATCGTTTTTGTAGCCATGTATTAGGACTCCCGAGGAGGCGGCGCGGCTCGCGGAAGGGGCGCGCGAGCTCTTCCATTTACGCCAACGTGACTCGTCTCGTGCCGAAACCTACCTGTTGACATGAAGGGATCCAAATCCTCACCTGTGGAGCTTCTGCTGCAGCTAAACTGGTAGAAAAGGGTACGGGAACACAGTCCGGCTCATTCTTCGGGAACTGGGTCGGATTTCAGTCATGACGAACTGGTTTTAACCCTTCAGCACCTCTTCAGCCGAACAACAACATTTACCAGGAAAAGTGTTTCCTGTTTCGCTGTTCTGGGTGCATCTGGCCAGCATCATCACTCAGGAATTTAGAAGTGAAGGATTTGTCTGCGGTACTTTAAAAGCATAAACATGTCATCATTTTGCTCAGACAATGTACATATTTTGATATTTTATACCTGGTTATGGATACATTTCTTTTATAAAAGTGAACGTGAAAAGAGGAAAAATCGTTTTCCGTTTAGACATAAATACAGCACGAGCGCTCCCTGCTGGTGCGTTCACGGCTCTGTTCTGCTGTTGTTTTCCCACCTCCTGCACAATTCCTAAATAATTCTAAAATCAAAACTCGTATAATTCACTTATGTATACCTTTTTATGAAAGCACTTTAGTCATCCAGGGTTGTTGTAGGAGCAGGCTGCAGCCATTACCCATCAGTTCTAATTTGTTTTCTGGATATTTTTTTATTCCAAATCTCAAAATTTCCAGACTTGCATCTTAAGGGTAAATAATTTATTGGTGCACCGAAGGTTCAGAACATCAGTTTGAATTTTTCAAACAAACATGAATCTTTCATGTCTTTCTTCACGTCAGCAGAACTGGGGGAATTCTAAAAATGTGCACACGGCTTTTACAGCGACTCTGAGAGCAACAGCAATGACTTATTTAGACATTCGCATCAAGCCTCTCTCCGTGAATCTGCTTTAGAGCCAAGGCAAGACTTGATTTGAACTTTTAAAACATGCTTTTCTTTCCTCACACTGAGACTTTCTGATGCCAGTAATGGTTTTATGTGCAGCTAATTGATTTTCTGTCTTTCTTTCAGAGATAAAGAGGAGGGAAAGTGGTTGTTGTGTAGTTTGGAGGAAGTCAGCACATTATCAGCTCCTCACAGCCCCACGGTCAGTTCGGTCTCCACCAAGAAGCCCTCTGTGCTCGCGTGTTGAGGAAGCATGTCTGATAGCTGTGATGCACAGTCTATAAGACGCAAAGGAAAGGGTCTCCCCGGGGGTACGCCTGAGCTAGCTGTACAGTCTCGAAATATCTCGTCTCTCCACAACTTTTTTGCATAGAAGGGTGTGTTCTTCTCCAGCTGTCATGTTTTATTTAATGGGCTGTCTTATTTAGGGAGCTGCAATTCCCCTGAATGGGATCCGCCTCAGCATCACCTCTACATCTCTGTTTTTTGGGGGGTGAGGACTCTGTCTTGTTGGATCATTTGACTTTTAGGTATTGTTTCTGCAGTTTAATGTGAACACGGTGTCAGTCAAAACTCATAATCCTCCTGCAGTTCAGTGGGGATTAGTCACAATCCACTAATGTGGCAGCCGGTTGCATTAGGTGCGCCGAAGCAACTTAATTAACTTCCCTCTTTCTGAGAGCATTAATCCTCCACCTAAAAGTTAGGAGCTGTCATCGTCTGAGCAGTTCCCAGGTGACTCATCTTGCTTGTTTGTTTTTTTTTTGTCACAAAGCCAAGGTAAGGTGGCAGCATGAAGGTCAAATTGATAGTAATCTGGTCAAACTGGCTGAACTGGAACATCTGAAGATTCCTAGTGTGCATGTAAACACAGCATTGTGTTTTGCTGAGTCTCTTGCTGCATGGGAAAGTTGTGATGACAGCAGAGTTGTATGCTAATAGCTCAGTTTGCTGCCACCGTGGATCCACTGACTCAAAGCCTGAGAATTTCATTTAGGACTAGAATGTTCTTAGAGCACCAGGCAGTCTTCCACCAGATGTCTTCTCTCCCCTTTTTCCTCAACACCTCTATAAAGCAGACTGACTGTTTTCCTCCCCACCCACAGTTAGTTCTGCCTGGCCCTCTTCTGCCTGCACATTGAATCTTGTGAATATTTTATATTTGATAAATAAATGAAACAACCTCTTTTCTTACTTCATGCTGGAGCTTATCATCTCAGCTCTGACTTTGTTCCAGTAGGAGTTCAGGCTGTGCTCAGGAACACTTTCATTTAATATTATTATTGTTTTTAAAAGCATCAAATGCATTTATTCTGCTAGCAGTTGCATATTTTTTCTTCCTAAATGGTGCTAGAGCTATTATTTGAAGTTTTAAGATTTACTCTTGAATAAAATATTTTGTAGCAATAAGAATGTCAAAGAAAATCCCAGCATTTCTTCTAGAAATCTGAAGTTTTGTTGCATGGCTGACTGCAGAAGACAGCAGAGTGACATCCGAGTCCTTCGTGCCTTTAATGACCTACTTTGACGGCTCTGCCTGGCTGTCATCCCCCTATACATTACCAGGTACGGAAGCTATTTACAGATATCTTCCCTGTCGGGCTGCAGGCGCTGTGCATCAGTGGTCATGTGACCCATGTTTCTGCATGTGTGTAAAAGAAAACTCCGCCCCACTGAAAACACATAGCCCGAGTGAGGTGAGGTGAGGTGGAGTGCAGGCTGAAATTTAAGCTTCCTTTTTCTGTGGATTACCGTCTGCAGAGACAACACAGAAGTTTTCCTGTGTGCAAAAGCTTCAGCAGCTGTTTAAGCCTGAGATGAACTAAAAATAGGACACACACACCTCAGAGCCAGCTGTCGTTCACTGCCTTTGGGACAGCCTCTTCCCACTTGGTTTTTTTTCTTCTTACTTCCTGTTTTATTCATTCCTGAATCAGACCTTTTGACCAGACCTGAAAGGGATTTACACAATAACACTCATGGAAAACCAGAGCCTCATAGCTCAGGTCTCATCCATCCTTGTTGGTCAAAAGCAGGTGTTCCAGTAATTAGACAGGTTCATGCTAAAATCCAAAGATTATAACATAGATGAGGTGCTGGGGTTGTGCTGGTTCAAGCTAAACTCTGTTAAAGCACATTACAGAAATGCTGAGAGGATTGAACAGAAGCCTTAGAGCTGACTTTTTTTTAAGACTTTTTACATTTTAAAAAAGGATTTCAATGTTTTAAAATGATTATAGTTAAAGTTACTCTGAGCCACAGTGGAAGGCCCAAAGAGCCTGAGTTAACGTGGAACTGTGAAATAGTATTAAAACGTTTGCTGTTTAAGTTGAATTCATATAGACATGAAATTACTATTATTTTTTATTTATTTATTATTATTATTATTATTATTATTATTATTATTATTAACTTATCAATCAAATCAAATCAAAGATACTTTATTAATCCCAGAGGGAAATTAGAGTTTCAGTACACACATTTCAGAGATCACACATACATGGGCAAGACACATGACAAGAATTGGTGACTGTGGTCATTCGCAACCCGAGTCGCGCTACCTTAATAGAGATAAGGAATTGATTCGGGAGGAGGGGAAAAAACGGCACTTCACAGCTACCCTCCCACCAGGAGTGGGATCCTGTTTACCCCAGCGAGAGCAGCCATCTACGGCGCTCAGCCACTGTAGCCACAGGTGGGAGGGAGATCCCGGGAGAAGCGCAGAGCACATTGACTCCTGCAGGTTGATGACCTCGCCAGGCTGAAGTCCACCAATCTGAAGGTGGGTGGTGGTGGTGGTGGTGGGGTTCACAGCATCTGTCTGCATTCCTTCGTGGGGGTTTGTTGCTAGCCTCTCAAGGCTGTCATGGCGTCCGATTCAGATAACAAGACTTTGTTTGGGTCAGGCTGAGATAATTTTCCCCTCTGCCTTCAGTCTTTAAACTGATCATTCCAGTCCTTCAGTGAAGCCAATTTGGGTTTTTAAACTTGGTCATACCGTCCGGTGACCCTCTCCGAGATGATATCCATTTTGCGCACTAATACCGGTATCGCAGCTAGAACATTGTCCAGCTTACGATTCACCTCGAGTAACGTCCCAGTCTGTGAGGTCTCCACACGGACGGTGCTTTCTGTGGGTGCGGGTCGCCCTCCAATTGCTCCCGTCTTCCCAAATTTCCAGAAAACCAGATATCCTCCCACTCCAATCAGGAGAAATCCAGTGATCATCAGGCCGAATATCCACACGTCTTCGACATCCTCAATAGACAGCTGGGAGAGGCATATGATCTTCCATTCCCTCCAGGAATCCAGCATATACCCCGCCGGGTGTGTCCCCTGTGGGCATATGGGAGCCCCCTGCTCCGTTCTCATGTTGAAAAAATCTTATCAATCGTGTTGAAAGACCAATTTATCAAATCCATGGTTAAAAATAGAGCTTTTCAGAAGAAGTGCAGAGAAGCACTCTGTGGGCAGACAGAACAAAGAGCCTTGGGAAAAAAAGATAAGGGAGCAAAAAGAGAAGCATCTGTACTCTGCGAGTGCCAGGAAGATATATGATATATATGTTACAGTGATGTTGAAAGGCAGGATAAAAACTTTCACTTATTTCTGTACTTCGTTTTTGTTGCTTTGGAATTTTATGTTGTCCAACATTAAGTAGTGTCTGTCCCACACTAAGTAGTCTCTGTCCCACACTCAGTAGTCTCTGTCTCACACTAAGTAGTCTGTCTCACATTAAGTAGTCTTTGTCCCACACTAAGTAGTCTCTGTCCCACACTAAAGCCTGATTTATGCTTCTCCGTCTGCGTCAGTGTGGAGACACGCAACGCCATTATCTGTCCTTGCGTAGGGCTCCGACAGGCACGCAAGCTGCGTGCTCTGTTCAACCCAACGCTAGCCACTCCGCGTCTGGGTCACACAGTAACACCACATTCCATCTCCGCTACGCTTCAGCTCAGCCTTGAAACGTGACAAACTGCTGGTAAACAGTGCAGGAGCTGCCCATGCAATATTATGAAGGCAACATTACTGTGAGGTTATAATGTTTCACTTTTTACTGAAATGAGTCCATATTATAGGTAATTTACTTAATGCAGTAGTTTTTTTATTAAGTTCAACACATATTTTAATAAGATATAAATATGCTCCATCAAGAAGTGGCCCGCCAGTTGAAGTGCTTAAAAATAGCAAATGAAACATGTATTTGAGTGGCATAAGTGAATAATCACTTTGAATAAAAATAATGTTCATGTAAATCATCACTAGTAGGTGATGCTGGAGATTCTTGAAAACTCACCTCAAAAGGGCTTGATAGGCGCTGTAACGCCGTAATCCTGAGGTGCTCAACAGAAATGATTTAAGGG